CATGTCAGGCTCGGCCTGAGGGCGGTGGCGGGAGCAGCCCCGCTGCTCGCCGCCTTTTTGTCCCTTGCGGGGCGGGGAGCAGTCCCTGCAGTCCCTCGACGTCAAGCAGGAGGGGTCGAGCAGATACTACAGCTTAATACAAGGACACAACGAGATGCTTGGAAATTTAAAGTCCAAGTTCAGTTCTCGTTCATGCGCTGATAACACACATTGGTATAAGTGATGAAACAAGCGCTCTAGAAAAAAGAGAAAATAAATATACTGTACTTACAGCTATGTCAGCTTGGAATAGGTCTCTGCAACTTGAATCTTAACAATATAATAGATAATGAATCTCCGGTTTTGAAAACACTATATGCAAAAACTTCAATTTTCAATGTTTATAAGAGCTTTTCAGTGACAGGTACTTATATCTTAAGAACATGATGATTATAATTTTTTAAATATTAACTAATATTTCTTATTTTGTATTGTTCCTTAATAGAAAGTATAACAGTTAATGAGCAAAACTGCAGCAAACACAATCCAGGGACTGGTTCCAAGTAGTTCTGGTTATTTAAAGAATTACTAGGAATCACAGTGCCTCTTAATTGTTTTTGTTTGAAAATACTGTAGTTGTTGAAAAGCAATAGCTCTAACAGTTAAGACTTGTGAGCTTTTTAACTTACAAAACTGTACTTCATTTTATTATTAAAAATTATGTCAGTACAGAAGCTGGACCAGTATTTAGAAATTGGTAATTTTTTTTCCATAGAGACAGCAATGAAATAACTCCACTGGAACACATGGTTGTTTAAATCCATTTATACTGACTTTGTTATTAATATCCAAGTTCATTTTTACAGAGAGAGTGCAGGGCACTGTTGTTACAAGAGAAGCTTGCAACCTCTAAAAGTTGAGCTGCCTGAGATTTTCTGCAGTTTGTGTGTTTTGGTTTTTATAAAGACTATTAATTAATATTTATTCAGATTTCTGTAATTAAGTACAACTTCCTGTGTTTTCTCACTTATTTGCTTTGGTTTTTATGTGTACTATTAGTCAAAAGTTACTTGTAGATGCTATATATTCGATTTGAAAACAGTGAAATTTGTAGTGGGTAGGCATTAAGAACATGGCATTCATGTGAAAATTAAAT